ATATAGAAATTGTAGATCTCGTCGTCCTCTACAAAAAAGGTCTGATGCAATTTTCCCGTAAGTCCAACGGTTTGGAAGTTATTGGCAAAAAACGAAAATTTTGCAAAATCTGAAGGGGTACCCCTTGGAAAAATCTCGGAAAAGTAAAAAAATTTTTTTTTTGAAATATCGAATATTTCATTTGTTTTCATTTTAAAATATCAAAATCCAGCAGCATCGATGATAGATAGCATGGAAAAAGCAAGATATATTTTATTTCTCTTTTTGAATCTTCTCCTCTCAGGGAAAATTAACAGATTAACATTAGCCAGAACTAGCCAGGAATCATTGTCCCAAACTATACAGAACGCTGAAATACGAAGTTCTTACGTGTAATTTTGCTACTTAAACATAATTGGATGAAAATTTAGTTCGTGCCTCGTTTCTCATAACTCCTCACGATGCAAATGATAAACGCCTTCGAGCGCAATGCACGTAGTTGTATCTACGAATTGCATCGCGCAGATAAGATCATTTGACATCGTGTTTAGTACGTGTAAATACGTAACGAGAAGTGTATCGCCCAGAGGGTGAGCGAAACGTGTGTTAGGTAACCGGTCATGCTTTCTTTCTATGAAGCTCGTACCAGCCGTTTGAGAAAGAAAGTTACCGAATCGATGAGGCAATTCGTCTCACTCCCCCGTCGAGTCATTTTCTCGCGGTTACGTAAACGTTTTAATTTCTAAAAAAAGATTCAGAGCCGTGTGCCTCTCGCGGACTACATACTCGCTGGGATGATTCGACAAAGCGACAGGCATCGGAGTAGAAGTAAAATCTACTTACGGAAAACCATAAATCACGTCGTTCTTTCCCATGTGCTTCTCATCTGTTAAACTCTCTAGCCTCGCTCTGTCTCAGGAAAATTTATCCTGAGAAAACGCAATTAACGTATCCACAGTTTAATCAATTACACAAATCCATCTTCAGTTAATTAAGTTATTTTAACAAGGAATATTAAACTATTTTTCAGCTATTAAATGTTCCACGCTTGGACAAGGGATGATTCTTATCGAACGATCGGCGGTAATAGATTTAACCGGAGATCTCCGTACGGATCAGAGAAACGATGCCGGGGGTCGGAGTACAGAGAACGATGACGATGATCGATAGGATCGGTTTCCTACGAGCCATTCGAATTGGCCGGGGTGCGGCCGTGGCAAAAAACGGGGCGATCGTGAGCCAGAGTCTCGATAATAGGATACCACGACTGTTCGAGACAATGTACCTGGAAAGAATGGACGCTTTCTAGACGGATCGAGTCACCGAGCGCATCGATGCGCTTTGAGAAGACCCAGCCCTTTGGTTCGCCGTGCTATCCGCGCATTCATCTATCTTGCTGCTCGTGTTATGCCAGAGGTGAGGTTCACCGGCGAAACACTTGATCGAGAACACTCGTCCGGATGATCGTCGTGGGCGCTGCCGAAAAAGGATATCGCGAGAATACGAGATCCTGAAAATAATAAGCTTATACAACGTCGTTGAGCTCGAGACTCCTGATCATCGCTGTATATGGCGATGCTGTCGAGATTTTTAGAACCTTCTTATTGTTTCATGGAACTTATTGTAATTTCGTCGTGATCTCCGTTACGTTGAAACATTTATTGAGGCTGCGATTTGATGCACTGCGCAATAGAGATATCGCACGTTCATCTCGATGAGGTTTAATGGATTAAGAAACACGGGATCGAAGGATTGACTAATTGCAATTATGCATCCGCGGAGCGTGTAAAGAATTCCGCGCCCCGGGGTCCCGTCGCGGTAGCGGTCGGACGAAAATTTCTAGGAGACAAATGAGAGTCACGGAAGCTACTCACACGTCGCGGTAGTTATTGAATAATGATCACGAACCGCACGCATAATGCCAGGGCTCCAATCAACTCGGGAGCGTTACTTTCTTTGTTACTATCTCGCTATATGGATGATCGTCGCTCGTTTCGAAACAGCCACGCCGCGGAGGTCGACGACGAGGGGGAGAAATTTGCGGTCTCGGCGGTTCTTGTACGCCTTGACGCAACTACACTGGACGGTGTAACGATGATAACAGGGAGGATGAAGAAGCACACGTTCGAGTCTACTTCGCAATTCTACTTACGCTGGCGCAATCTCACCGTGCGATTCTTATACATTGGGATTCCTAAATACGCGATGCAATTTTCATACGTACATTTTCCGTGTCCATCCATTTATAAATCAAATTCACGCAATTTTCTAATCGACCAACTGAAGAAAAATCAGTCTTCGATCATCCGATCTGCCACAGGATTCAGGAAATTCTGTTAGTCAGGCGCATTTCATGATTTCATCATCAAAATTTTTCATTTAGACGTTCTGTCGATCGCTCGTGTGAAATGAAACGTTTCTACAAGCTGCCTTGAGCTGCATAACCGATGAACATGGTAAAAGGACGAAGAATACATTAGCCAAGTCTTTTGTTCGATCATTATGGAATCCTGTTCAATGGAATTCGAAAACGTATCACGACCGTTCGATCCGTGATCGCGTAGTAGATGCTGTTCTCGATGCGCGAGCATCTCGTCTCAGAAGGAAGCGAGTGAATGGGTGCCCACGGTAGCTCCGAGCCTTCTCTCCGTTATGGAGGAAAGAAAATATAGTTCAGATCACGGTTGCGTAATGCCGCATCGGTTCGACGCGAGCCACTTTGAAGATCTACGGTAACGGCGAACGTCTCTTCTCTCAGCGTCATCGGTGACCTTTAAAAGAGCGGAGACGCTCGTAGCGAACCGCTGTTCGAGGGTAGGAGCGCAATCGTGGTACAAGGAAGGTGAGCAGCCCCGAGGATGAATGATCCAATTTCTTGTTTTATACTCTGATACTGACACCCGGACACGAACGAGATCAACGAATATAAAAGCGAACCTTTTGAACTGGAGGTTCACACCGACGCGTGAGACTACAGCGTCGGAACCTCCGTTCAACAAGTTTGCGTCATGTCTATGACAGGACACGATCCTACGAACTTATTAGCTTTTGCTATTTTCAAATCAATTTAATGTTACGTACGTCGATGCGCACTTTTTTTACAGCTAGTTTATGATGTCGTACATGCATGGGAAATGCTAATTAAAGTGACGTTTCGTCTAATTAATAGGACGCGCGAATAACGTTCGTGAGTAATTCGAGTGGAATGTTAATTAGATTCGAGTGCATGGCTTGGAATTCATTTTTAATATTCCTTGCACTGCAATTTCAGTTTTTATTACTTATTTCGGTTGCGTACAATAGTTCTCTTTTCATATAAATGAATAATGTTAAATTAATTAGTTACAATTCTTTGTAGTTCGAAATTAATTATTTTATTTCAAGCCACCGTGTATTATAAAATTACGCAGTTAATTAGGGAAATTCATTTCAGATTCTAATTGAAATTGCAATTAAAGATTGGACTTTGGAAGCGAAGAACTACAATCTAGTTTAAAAATCTCTGTATCTTAAATTGTAAAACATTGTAAGGATCGTAGCATTTTCAAAGTCCAATCTTTGGAAATGATATTAATTAAGCGAAGGACTAGAATATGAAATTTTACAAAATAATTTCTTTATTTTAAATTCTATAATTTAATGCATGCGCTAATAAATATTATTCGACCAGATCTTATCAGTTCTTCAAAATTTTTGTTAATTTTCGAAGTTTTATGCACTCCTTCAGTGCCAATTATTCAATTATCATCGAAAGGAGTGATTAAAAGAGCGACTATGATTTAAACTCTCTTGCACTCCATTCGCTGTTTGAATGATTGAACATGCACTGTTTTACTGCAGCCCCTGTTCTACTGCAACCCGTATTACTCGAACGTATTTTTCTGCATGAGGACGACATCTGTACGCAGCGCGGAAAACTACATCGAAGTTTTCCACTGACACACATTCAGATTCGAATTAATGTTTTCAACAGTTGAAAGTGGAAGCCGGCGTCCTGAAGAGAATGGAAGAACCGTTACAATCGGTTTCGAAGTGTTTACAGAAATTCGTGGACTCAATAATTAAAGGATATCGATGATGGACGAGGATCAGCAACAGAGGATTCCAAATAATGTTCTACTATTTCGACTCGCTGTTTCGAACAGCTTGAAACGAATCGCGGAATTAGTGAGGTGAGCAACACACATTTACAAAATATTCAGGAATGTTTGTTACATGTAGGATAGGCTAGGATTTATGGAACCAAAATACTTCAGCTCAGAGATCATGGAATTTGTAGTCTTTATGCCATAGCAATCGTTATTTTTTATTGAAATTTTTCTGTTTACAATTAAAAATTCGATCTACTTGACAATAAAGCAAAGTTCGCCTGGCTTAGGCAAATACCCAAACCGAATTTCAGGTTATGTCCTAGCCTCGCAATTTTAAGTATGCCAAATACGAGAATACCATTAAATAAATGAGGAACAAAAAGAAGTCACGGCTTTCGTTTATCGCATTGAAAGAAGGAAGTAGAGCCGAGTGGGGGTCACCGATGACCCGCGGTGTTATTCGATGTCATTGGCCTCTCTCGGCGATCGCATGTTAATTTGTCAGTGTTCACGTGACACCGAGGAGGAGGAGACGGTGGCGGACGCGACGCAGTGGGTCGATTTTTGAAATCGGTTCCCAGAATCTGCCGCTCTTTGAAACCTAACACACTAGTCGACCTTCGAGGAATTCCACGAAGTGTTCGAGGAAACAAAGGGCCTCTGGTCGCTCTGCTGTGCTCATCGTTCGGCTTCATTCGTGCGGTGCGTGTCACGCCGATCATATCACTCTGTGCCTCTATTAATTTCTCGTTAGAATTCATACGAGTTCAAGCACAGTTTTTCAAATCATAGAATTTGTTCTTTGTTGTAATCCTTGCATCACTTCGCGTAGTTTTCTCCGCGGAGATAAACGGACATTCTTACCCGGTGACCTCATACCAGTGGGAGTTACTTAATCGTGCGAGCGACGAGTATTCTTCTCTTCTCGTGATCATCAAACGTGAGATGAAGCTTCGTCGAGTAGAAGACGTACTTCGAAGCGTGCTCGATTCGGTCGGGACTAATGCAAATATGTAATATCAACATCAAATTGCACACGTCCCGGCCTGATTGAGCGCGCGTGAATCAGCAGAAGGAGAATCGAAGGTGTGGCCACGTTTTACGCTTCCGACTTCCTGCATTTCGCACTGAATACATAACGCATACTGTGCTTGTATTGTATATTAATAAAGCGAACGATGTATCAATTTCCTAATTAAAACGTTGTTCATCCCTTCTAATTGCGCCGCTATCGTCTGTGTATTATATCGCAAACCGGAAATTGTGCAATCCCGAATATTCCGATAAATAAATAATATCCTGTAAGTCCATAAAACTCGCGGTCTCGGAATCGCATATCGTAAAATTTTAAATATCCGACGACACTTTCGTATGTTTTAAGTATTTAAACATCTTTCAGCGAAGAAGAATTCCTAAAGATCTTCACGATATTTAAATCGAAGCCAGGTACTGCGCAAAAGTTCCATAAAGCGATGTGTAAAGAACTTTTGGATGTTATGAACGACAATTTAGAAGAAATACTAACCGAAGGAGCTTTGCAACAGGAATTGGAGAAACTCGCTGCGTTAACCGATGCAAATTCTTCTGTGAAGGAAGATGCTTGGTAAGATAGGAACGATGCCTGGGAGATATCAATTAATATTACGATAGAAATTTATTGTCGATGTTCGTTCATTCCAGGAGACCACCGGGAAATGTGCCTTTACATTTACGTTCGCTGGATGCTCAAGTAATGATTGAAGAAAGCGAGACGCTTGAAAAACGTGTAAATGAGATAGAAAAGGAAAATGCTATTCTGATGGAACAACTTTCGGACAAAAGATTGAAAGTAATTGCCATGAACGATAAGATAACGCGATCTTTAAATAAATCACCGATTGTTATAAGTTTGTTAGAAAAAAGACTGAGAGGGCTGGAGGAATGTCTGTCCTTAATAGAACATAAGTAGATAATAGGATAAAACACTGATAAATTGTAAATAGTATACATATTTCTTATTATTGTATTACAATTTTTAATTACCTAATTATAATATCGTCTTACAAGTAGTAGTACTTTATTTAATTCATTCACAGAATCATTAAACATTTTATGTATCTCCGTCTCTTGAATTATAAACTTTCGCTTAATTCGCTAACAGAATTTGAACGATCCCGCCTTTTACGATTAACTTCCGCGTACTCCATTAATGACGGTAACGGCGGCGCATTGTTCGATCCCTGATTAAAAGATTCTTAATCGTAATTTGCCGCCAAAAGGTTCCCGCGTGAATCGCGGCTATTTTCCGATTGGTCAAGACTCATTCGATTTCCTCCAATCAGAGGCGCGCTTTCTGTCGGGAACTTGACGAAACTCTCGGCAGATGGCGAGAGCGTTATTGTACCTTAGTCCCCGCTACGCACCCGCTGTTCGCCATTGTGCCGTGATTCCTGTTAAGTTTCGTGTTTGTGAGTGAGAATTCATCCGGTTTACCAGGTTCTGGAGTTCATCCACGCATCGGGTGAGTCCAAGATCTCATTCAATTCTAAAGCTATCCTTTTCTATTCTTAAATTTCGCATAATATAAGTGATTAACCCGGCAAAGTGCGTTTCACCCGAAAGGGACGACATATACATTTTTTTGGGGGTTAGTTTCTGACCCTCGCGCGTCAGCCCTCTTCCGTACGCGTGGTCAAGCCATGGCATTGTCAATTGGAGTCTTCTTCGAATCGAATATTCCTAACGATCTCACGATAAAATCTGTTTTCTACGATCCCGCGGATAACCCTTGAGGTTATACGCGCGTCGTAGATACGTTCGGTAGTTCGAATGTTTTTCCAGCAGTAGTGGCACACCGTGCATTTTTTCGACTCTCCGAGTCGACGGCTAAGTCAATAATTTCGGCCATGGGACCGGGCATAATGTCCGCAAGAATTCGGGAATCTTTCCATGACGCGAACGCGTGTACACGCGATTTCCGTACCGGCGTCTCCCTTGATCAATTTACCTCTCTCGTTTCACACGAGGGTTAAATTGACTACAGACTATAAAATGAGTTATCGGTATTGCAACGTCATCTCATTAAACAAGATAAATTTTATGTCTCATACTGACTGATTTGCGTCATACAAAAATTTTAAGCGGGTACGTGCTTCCTATTTTTGAATGATCATCGTCGGTTGTCATTTATCGCGCGATTCAAACGAGGAAGAATAACTCAGGTGTTTCGTATCTTCGAGAGAGACGATTTCTTGTTATCTAACGTGTTATTCAATGCAAGGTGTGCGGCAATGGAAAAAATCGGTAACGAATGACATAATACATAGTTTTCAGTGTATCACGTGTTTACTTGCATAACGCAGTACTGTGTGCACAGATTGTTTTGCGATATGGTTAGTTAGATAATGCCCGAACTGTGATTAAAAGAATAAGAGAGTATTAGAAACGAAATAGTTTATTATTTAAAAACCAATTGAAATTGCGTATAAATTGTTTTGGAAGCGAAACTCTTTTTCGCTGTAAACAGAAAAAAATAACTATTTCTGCATTGATGTACGGTACCTCGAGTATAAGAACAGATGTTCATATACGTAGTACATGGAATTTTTTAAAGATTTGATGTACATATCTAAGTATCTTTTTCTTGGTTGTTCTAGTACCAAGAAAATTGTGAGTAGAGTGACTAATCGTAAGAGTCAAGGCTCTTATCGATTTACATTGCGATACCCTGATTCACCTTGGGCGATCATTGGAAACGTTTCATTGGCTAGCAAGCGAATTTGACATAATTCCTCGCAGCAATTATATCATTCTGTCATTATTTATTATATCATTCTGTCATTATTTATTATATCATTCCGCATACGTGTATCGATTAAAGTATGTCGTTTACACGATTTCACAATTGCTATTTGGAGTTCGAGCTGTATGGAATCAACTGATCAACCTTGAGGAGTCCGTGCCATTGTTGTATACAAACTACTTCGATAAGCGTAATCTATTTCGGTACTGTTGTATCACGAATTGAATTTTTACGATGAAATAATTAACGGAATTTTCATAATGCTATTAGCTCGTTGTCGAAGAATCCCACGTGCATTAGCGATTTTCTTGTCCTTCGTCTCGCCATGAACTTCTACCGTGAACTCGAATCCCTATTATTTCCTCGCTTCTGACGGTGTTTGCCAGACACCGCAATTAATTCGCTGGTTACATTGTTATGTATTCCATCGTCAACTCGTTCGATTCGTAGTTCGGTCACGTGTAACAGTTAAACTCTGTTAGTTCCGGTAATATTATACATTATTCTGTAAATGTGGAAAAATAAGAGTTTCTGAGTGGGAACTATGGAATAAGTAAATTACAGTTATCGAGCTTTGACGTAAGGAAACTTACATTAGTTTAGTTTCAAACAGTGGAAGTTATACCTGATTTTCGATCCGTTTCCGATTGTTAGTTTCCTATATTTACCTGAAACTCCTCTGCTATATGAATTTAGGAAATGAAATCTGGGTTCAAATTTCGTTTACGGTTTAAAAATAATTTTTAACATTCTGCTCAATTTTATATTGCAGTCTTTATGTTTACTGAACATTCAATTTTTTAAAAACAGAACAAAATTCGCGGTCTATTGATTAATAGATGTTCTAGAGTAGAAAATCTGCCAGTATCGAATCAAATATGTTAATCAGAAAATGAGATATAGATTTATTACTATTTTTTAGGTCTAGTCTTCATAAAGGAAATTA